GGTCGGCTCTAAATCCCCCCTAAGGCTACAGACTCCAGATGGCCTTGAGGGAAATCGGCCAATTCCACCCGCACGGTGGGATGGGGCGGAAGGAGTGCTCCCAGGTCAACGCTTCCCTCAATTCCAACACCTGGAAGGCGTCTTCCTCCGTTGTCCCTCTGTATTCTCAGCTCAGTCTTTTCTCCTTCTACAGCAGTAATTGATGAATGTCCCTGGCCGTCCCTTGCGTTGATGAAATTGCAGTTGCTCTCTTCATAATTGACGTCTATTTTTCCCGACCATTATGGGGTTATCCTCAGGCCATATCTTCCGAGAAGCTACAGGGTCACTCCCCACAGCCGGTACATAGTGCGATTAGTCACGGTATAGAACTTGTTGGGCATTGCCTTGGCATTGGACTCGGCTCGACAAAGAACCGCTCTCCCATCGCGTGAAAACAACGAAACAACGACACGCCGTTCATGTTTGAGTCGCGCCAAAAGATGACCGTCGTACCAACGGCGAATCCCCTGCCTGTAACCTCCAGTTGGTCTCCCCTCCTGACAGTGGGTTTGCTGAGTTCCACTTCCCAATCTATGAGCAGTCCAGCGAGATCAGCCTCGTCCACGTGGTCATCTATAGTCCTCCTCCATCCTCCTGAACGCGTTGCGGACCGCCGGGTCCGGGTGCCTGGCTACGCAAAATGTCTCGGAATCGTGGGTGGTGCCGACTTCCCACTGGAAGCTCCACCCTCTATGGGATTGGACAATCCGGCATCCTCGTGAATTACCACCTGCACCTAGCTCGGTTCCGGGATAGGTTTTGATTTACCATCCTCAACTATCTTTGGGTATATCGTCAGAGTTGCCGGTCCTCTCCGGCGCGACGGCTTGGTCACCTCGACCGAGGAAGCCTTACCGGATCCAAAAGTCGGTCGATTCCATTAGCGTGTAGTGTAATGGATATCGATTTCGTCGGCCTTGATTTTCTCCGGCAGATCAATCTCGGCGTCCACGCGAAAAACAATCCCGTCCTGCTCCGGCAGATAGTTCATTCTTACCGTTTGAAGTTTATGACGTATCGAGCCTTTGCTCCGGGGCTTCTCGGGATGGCTTCGAGATCGCCCCACAATCATCACCCTGGGCATGGACCATCGGCGGTCCCAGAAAGGACAAGCCGTCCAGCAACAGGAAAACCACCAACATTACGCCGAAGAGAAATGGCAGAAGAAAAAAGACCCTGACTTGGGGATTACCCGGATGTATTGAACTGACCGTTCGTGTTCGATACTAGGATTCAAAGCAATCCGGCACCTCTGCCAGCTGTTTAGTTCTTACCTACATGACACCACCCAACATCAAAGGAGACCGGTATGGTTCGGCCCTCCGTCCGGCCAAACACGGATCCCGCTTTTCCGTGTTTGATAACCGGTATTCCCTCATCGGAGACCCTTAGAGGGCAGGGGCGGCACCTGGACGGCGCCGCCCGGCTGCTTTACACGACCGCCCGTGCCGTTCACGAAGTGATTGGAGGCGACGAAATAGTTCGGGTGCGTCAGCGTCGCGTCGTTGCCCGAGTGCGTCCTGGATGGCGCCGCCGTTCAGGGTCAGCTTGTTGGCCCTGATTTCCAGGCCGTCGCTGGCCCGGTCGCCCACCACCACCGTGTACTCGAACACCACGTTGGCCCCGCTGCTGTTGCTGCTGCTGTAACCGGCCTGCCGCGCCGACGTATTTGACATGGTCAGTTCCAGTTGCGGGGTGCCGGTGACGGTCATGTCCTCGCTGAAGGTCACCGTGACCTGGACGACGTCGCCGGTGCCGTAGGTCCTGTCCTCGCCGGGGTCACTGGTGAATGACAGGGACGAGACGGTCGGCGCGATGGCATCGACGCTGTCCACCTTGTGGCCGGAGTCGGCGGCCACGGCGGTGTGGGCCAGGGTGGCGTCGTTCCCCACCTCGCCCCGGATTTCGCCCCCGTTGAGGGACAGCTTGTCGGCGCCGATGGCGATTCCGTCGGCGTCGCTCTCGCCCAGCGCTACGGTGTAGGTGAAGACCACCGCGGGCCCGCTGGCGCTGCTGTAGTCGGCGGTCTTCGCCGTGCCGTCGAAGTCCAGCTCCAGCTGCGGCGTGCCGGTGACGGTCACGTCCTCGCTGAAGGTCACCGTGATCTCAATGGAGTCATCCTCGACGTAGGTGTCGTCCTCCCCCGGGTTGCTGGTGATGACAACGGAGGAGACGGAGGGGACCGTCGTGTCCGAGCCTCTTACCTTGTGGCCGGAATCAGCGGCCACGGCGTCATGGGTCAGGGCGGCGTTGTTCGCCGTCTCGTCCTGGATGGCGCCGCCGTTCAGGGACAGCCGGTTGGCGGCGATGGCGATGCCGTCGGTATCGATGTCGTCCGCCGCCACCGCATAGCTGAAGATCACCGCAGCGCCGTTGGTGCTGCTGTAGCCCGCGGCCCTGGCGGTACCATTGAAGTCCAGTTCCAGTTGCGGGGTGCCGGTGACGGTCACGTCCTCGCTGAAGGTCACCGTGACCTCGATGGAGTCGTCCCCGACGTAGGTGTCGTCGCTGCCCGGGTCCGACGTGACTTCTATTGATTCTATTGAAGCCGGGGACCCGTAATAGACTTGGGCCGGCCAGTTCCTTGCGTCGACCACATTCTCGCCGACCTTGATCGTAACCCTGTCGGCGCCACCGTCAGTGTTGATGAACAGGTAGACAATGCCTTTGATGCGGTTATGCCTGATGAATCGGCTGACAGTGCCGCCGGACACCTCAATATCCTCCTGGTCAAAGCCATCGACGGAAGCGTAGGAAACGGAAGGAGCAGGGTACTTGAGGCCCACCCGGACCACAAAGGAATCACGGAGACGGATGTCGGAGGTGGATCCCGCCGCTCTCCAGCGTTCTCTGGAACTCCACCCACAATATGTCTGCAACTCCGCTGACCTCGCCGGATGCCAGTCCAGTGCCCACGGAGTTGGTGGCGTAAACCCGGTAGTGCCGCGCGTCTCCTCTCTCCAGTCCCGTGTGGCTGTAGGAATTATCGGCGCCGCCCGTGTCGGCCACCAGAACCGACCAGGTGGCCCCCTCGTCTTCAGAGACCTCAATACGGTAGCCGGTGATCTCTGAACCGCCGGTAACGGTGGGAGCGGTCCAGTTGAGATCGATACGGGTATCGCTGTACCCTTCAGCCGTAAAGTCCGTGGGCGCGCCCGGAGCCGTACCGGCGGTTGACCCTGAAACTTTGTGCTCCGACAGGTCATCTCCCCTGGCACTGTACTTGAGAGACCAGGACTGCCCCTGGCTCTTTGACTGGACAGCATTGCCCGAAGTGGCAGTATGTTCTCCGGCGCCGCCCACGTTCAGGACGATACCGTTCTCATCCACGTCCCCCACCGCCACGGTGTACCGGACACCAGCTCCTTGTTGTCAGAGCCGCTGTGGTACTGTGCCTGGCGCAGGTGTCCATCACCTTCGCTGTTCTCACCCAGCTGGAAGGTCAAGAACAGCGACCCAAGCACCTCTACCGGTTCGTTGTAAGTGAGCTTAAGATCGATATTCTCGCCAACCCCGTAGGTATCGCCATTGGCCGGCGTGGAAATGACTTCGACGCCGGTCACGAAGGGGTTCGAATCCACCTTGTGCCTTGTCAGGTCCGATCCGCCGGACTCGTAGGTTCCATCCCAGGCTATTTCAACCCCAGGCACCTTTACCTCGCCCGTGCCCAATACGGACTCCCGGCCGTCACTCACCGCATCCAGGGAAATGCCGTCGACATCGGCGTCATTGCCCTGTATGTCGTAGTGGAATACCAGCTTTGTGCCGTCACTGGAAATGCTGTCGTACCGGGCCTGCCGCAAGTTCGGGTTCACCTGGTTTTCGTTGGACCAGCTGTGTGTTCACATCCATGCCGGGTGAATAGGGGCTGCTCATAACAAAGGGTATGGACAATTCCCCGTCGCCCACCGTCATGGGCTGGTCAAGGGTAAGCTGAATCTTGATGGTCTCGCCCATACCGTACGTATCGCCGTGGCGCGGAGTTGAAACTACTCCCACGCTCTTTACAAAGGGAGTTGTGTCCACCTGGTGCGCCGGCATCTCGTCGATTCCGGGGTAAGTGCTTACCGCCTCGAAGCTGTCTGCTAAAGGTTCCAAACCTCGTCAGGAATTCATATATCTTTCTGCCGCCACCTAGGGCGGTGCCGTCTGCATTGCTGGCTACGCTGATGCCGTCAGAGTCAAAGTCCCCCGCCTGTACTCTATACGTGAACAGCAGCGTACTCGTATTAAGCGCATATATCGTCTGGAGAAAAGTGGACCTCTCGTCGCTAAAAGTGGCCCGGCGAGGGGCATCTTCGCCCTCTCCCAGGTTAATCATGAGCCAGGGATCTGGACCCGTTCCTCGGAGGGTGACATTGGCATCGTACGTTAGCCGTACACCTATGTCCTCGCCATAAGTGTAGTGGGACCCGTTAGCAGGGGTAGTGACAATGCTGGCGTCGGTTACCCTCGGCGAGCCCAATACCTTATGTCCGGAATCCTCCGCAATGCCCGGGTGGATGGGGTAAGCTCGCTCTTCGGGATTTGACCTGGGCCTCAGATTCTCGTAGCCTCGCAGGCTGTTGGCGTCCACCGCGATGCCGTCAGCGTCCATGTCTTCGGCCCGCACGGTGTATTTGAAGGCCAAGCGGGCAAGGGCTTGCCTCCCATAGCGGCTGTATGCCCTTGCCCTTCTTCGTGTTGAGTCCTTATCTACCCCATTCCCGTCGTAGCCCATGAGAATGTCCACACTGACGTCACCCGGATTTCCCACTACATCGAACTCATCGTTAAAGTAATAGGATACGTATATGATTTCGCCCGGCCGGTAGTATTGTCCATTGGCAGGGCTGCTCCAAATGTCGTTAGTTAAGTTGGTCTCGGGATTGTCGGCCGGTTCTAAAACTGCCAGGTCTACTGGGTGGAATCGCCCGTCAATTTTGTACTCGGTCAGATCTTCCTGAGCGTCAAAAGTGTGGTCTGCTTTATGAGATATGTCTGAAGACCAACCGATCATATTCTCCCCAAGTCCGGTCTCCGTGTGAGCGCCGATGGTCAATCCGTCAGCGTCGGAATCGCCAGCCTTGACCTTGTATTCGAACCTGAGAACGTCGCCCCTGAGTCCCCCCCGCTGGGGACCAGGGTTGGGTCGGCATCGCCGGTCGAGGTCTCCCAGGAAAAAGTCTCATCGAAATCCGCTTCCCGCAGCTGAGGGGTATCGTCGCCGTCCCCGTCCAGCCAGAATTGCAGCTTCGGATAAAGAACATAGCTCTCTGCCTCGTCTGTGGCCGCCACCCGATCGGGAATGATATACACCGGCTCGTCGAATTCGACGTCAATATATATGTAATCCCCCAATCGGTAGGTATTGTCCAAAGCCGGCGTGTTGCTCATCCGAACTTCTTTCACCGTCGGGGGGTCATCGTCGACGATGTACATGTTGCAGAGGACATCAAGGCGGCCAGCTCCGTGTCCCCCGCTGGCATGGTTTTTGAAGTAGACCCTGAACCATTCCGAGGGCTCGGTAATGTCGTCTTCCTTGATGGCAAATGTATGCTCTATCTTCTTGGCGAAATACTCTGCCGGACTGGTGACTTCGTTGAGCCCGCCTTCCCAGTAAATGAGATCAGCAGTCGCTTTTTCCTCGTCAGTAGCCGCCGTAGAAATCATCGTGGCCGTGTTCTGCTGTCCGGGAATGGCCCGCCAGTGCCAGGACCCTTCCACACCTCGAACGATTATTGCATCGTCCATAGTCAGGGTTACTTTGTACGTTTCGCCTTCTATGACCGATGTAGGGCAACTCAAGGTCAGGTCGTGGACCGACGACTGATGAGCCTCTACACTGCCGGGGCGACCCATTGGTGTCAATGCGATGGAGATTCCCGCCAACAACACGGCAATGCCCGCCACAACCAGCCACACGTAGGAAAGTTTGATCTTCATAACCAGACACCTCTTCCAATAGAGTCATAGAGTCAAAAACAATGACCGTTTGCACCAACACTCAACAATAAATGCTGTCCTATCAGCAGCCGCTGGGAGGCAGAGTTCACTTCTATTGCGTCAACCGCAAGGCAACCCAAAACCAATCCAAATCTACGCTGCAGGGCATTTCGTTCGGATGTCTCTGCAACTCCCTGGGTGGCCGCAAAGAGGGACTCCGCTTTCCGTTCTCAAGAGATTGGTGCTCAGGTCGCATAGGAACCCCTGGAGTACTCGTTCCTCAGCAACCCTTTAGAGGGTAACAAGGTGCCTCTGCATTGAGATAGGTGAAAACCATAAAAAGCGCCTACCTCTTTTTATCAATTTTGGAATAGCATTTTGCCCAGTCGGTTCCGGTTCGTTTTAATTTTGTAGCTGCTGGCGTAATGTGCTGGAGCTGTTGGCAACCCCCGCAACTCGGTGGCAGAAGCAGCCCAGGCGCTCAGGGAAAACGACCCGAGCTGGACCCACGAGTTCCAAGCAACATGGACTGCATAGACCAGTACGCGGGATGCAGGTGCGAGTGGGTGGGGACCAATCTCATCGGCGACCTGGCGGCGCTCCAGCGGCACCCTGAGTTGGACAGGGCCGCACTTGGGCAGCGGATCCGGGAGCTCAGCGGGTTAGACCTGTGCCAGGTGGAACCGGCGCGGACGGCGCCCAGGCTGGGGAAAGGGGACCCGGTAACAAGGAGATCCCATGACCGTTGAAGAGCAGGAACTTCCGGACAGCCCTTAGCCCGGACCCCAGGATACGCCGCAACGGGCACTGTCCCAGGGCGCCGGAGCGCACAACGCCGAGACCTGGCAGGTGAGCGTTACCGCTTCGAAGGGAGAGAGATTTGCAAATGAAAAAGCACTCGACTATGGCGAAGCGTTAGTTACGGGTTTACGCCCTGTTGATATTCACCTCGGGCTCCCCCTGGTCGTGCCGCCCTGGTGGCAACTCGCTGGCAGCTTTGCCGTACCGGGGCTCGCTGCAGTCAATCCGGATGGACACTTTCGGTTTCCATCCAGACTCGCTTCCAATCCCTGGGGCGCTGGTCAGCATTTTCCCTTCAGTCGCAGGTATTCACAGGCCCGGCAGAGCCGGTACCCCGACTGACCCGCTCCATAGACACGTCCATAGACACGGCGAGAGGGGGGAATCCGCCGTCCAATGGGACACTCGGTACCGACGTGGTAGAGCCTGATGTCGCTGTCCGAGGTCCTGTCTGTCCTGTCTGAGTGATGGGGCGCCACTTCTGCCATACGTGTCCCCTCCACGGTTTGGTCATGAAGTACCGCCGCGACCCCGGCCTTGCCCTCGACCGGCCCTGGCCGCGGCCGGTTCGTGGGTCACTGCCCCTCCGTCACCGGCGGAACCTCAGCGCCCACCGCCACCTCGTCCACCAGTCCGTTGCGCACGGCCCAGATGACCAGTTCCTGCTTCGTCGCGATGCCCAGCTTGTCCTGCACGCGGTAGAGGGTGTTGCGGACGGTGACGGTGCTGTTGCCCCGCTCCTGGGCAATCTCCACGTAGGACCGGCCGCTGGCGAACAGGGTCAGGGTGTCCCGCTCCAGGGCCGTCAGCCGGTTGGAGCCACGGCGGGCTGACAGCCCCCCGCTGCGGAGCAGGGCGAACACCTCCCGCACCACCTTGTCTGGTATCCGCAGCCGCCCTTCGGCCACATCCAGCACGGCCCCCACCAACTCCTCCGCTGGCGAGTACTTCTGCAGGTAGCCGGTGGCTCCGGCGGCAATCGCCTCAATCACCGCATCCTCTTCGGTGGAGGCCGTCAGCATCATGACCCTGGTATCGGGCAGGAGTTCCATGATCTCCCGGCAGGCATCAATGCCGTTCTTGTTCGGCATGATCACGTCCATGACGATGACCTGCGGGTTCAGTTCCGGGGCGATTGTCACCGCCTCCTCACCGTCTCCGGCCTGTCCCACCACCTCGAAGCGGCCCGAGGCCTCCAGCACGTCGCGCAGCCCGCTCCTCATGACGGGATGGTCATCCACCACCATCACCCTGACCCTGCCTTCCGTTGACATCTCACCCTCCTCCTTGGTCCGCTCGACCCGCTGCATGGGATACCACGCAGGTAATGGTCGTTCCTTCTCCCAGGACGCTCTCCACCAGGAGCGCTCCCCCCAGCTGCTCGGCCTCCGACCGCATCCCGTTGAACCCCCGACCCCGTTCCCCGTAGCCGTCGGGCAGACCCACCCCGTCGTCCGAGACGGAGAGCCGGATCCCGTCGGCCCCGAAGTCCAGGCTGACCTCCACTCTCCCGGGCCGGGCGTGCAGGAAGGCGTTGGTCAACGCGTTGTGGGCGATGGAGAAGAGACGGGCCCGGGTCTCGGTCTCCAGGAGAGGCTCGATCCCCGTCTGAGACATCACGGCCGTGATGCCCGTAACTCTCTGAAAGGTCGCACAGTGAGACCACAGGACCCTGCCCAGCTCCCGCCCCTCCAGGAGGTGGCCCGCGTCGATGGGGCCCCTAACCGCCCACATGGCCGACCTGGAGAGGGCGGCAGTTGCATCCAGGGTGGACACCAGGTCCTGCTTGGTTTCCCCAGCCAGTTCGCCCGCCAGTTCCCGGGCCCGGTGCAGGCCCAGGCCAATCATGTACGCCGTCTGCGCGGTGGTGTCGTGAATGGTCTGGGAGAGCTCGATGCGTTCCCGCAGCAACTCCCGCTCCCTGGCCACCGAGGTCTGCCACCGGATCCGTTCGAACCGGGTGATGACACTGATGCCCAGCACGATGGTGTACATCACCGCCAGCCGGGCCAGCAGCACCTTCTCCCTGCCCATATCCAGGTCCAGACCCGAGCCCACTCCCAGGCACCCGACAGCGTAAGCGGCGGCGACCGCCGTGGTCCAGGCGAGACTGAGCCCATGGGACGAGAAGACCACGGCAAACACTGCCAGGGAGGGATAGTACGCCAGGAAGATGAAGCTCCGGAACCCGCCGCCGATGACGATGCCGCCGGTGATCAGGACAATTTCCATGGCGCTGAGCAGGAGCATCCAGCGCCAGGTCACCGGCCGGTGGGTCAGGAGCCGGAAGTGCACCAGGCCGTTGAACGCCCCCAGCACCACCGGCAGCAGCAGGAACTCCATGTCCCCGGGGTACCAGAAGCCGGGCCGGGTAGGCCAGCAGGATGACCCCCACCAGCCAGATGAACCAGCGGCCCCAGACGGAGACCCGGGCCGCATGCAGCACCACCGCCGGGTCGCTCAGGGTGCCCGGCGTGACCCACTGCCGCAGGACTTCCAGGCCGGCCCTCAGCAAGGCAGAGCCCGCGGCGCCCAGTCACCCGCCGGAATGCGCTTTGACATTACGGGTCGACCTCCTGCAATACCTGGCCTCGGAAGCCAATGGCCATGCCACTGACAACATACACCAATTATTCGTGGGCTACGAGATAAAAAAGTATCAACCGGACTAGGCAAAGTGCTCACTCACGATTGGGGAAAAGAGAAAGGCAAATTTGAGCACATCGAACCTATCGAACGCTGTATCGGTATGGCAGCATTAAATATTGCAACCACTGGCTGAGCGCCGATTATCCAGATTCCCGCCCAGAAAATTGAAAGTTCTGTGAGTCCTATTCCAGGGGTGGGCCGTAAGCAATGCACTTGGCCGAATAGTTGATACTGAGTCGTATGACTCCAGCTAGCAGTCTGTCTGAGAAAAAATGTTCTAAACGATAATCGTCTTCAGCAGAGTTTGATATTCCGATTTTGGCCACATTGGAGCCTATTTTTCTAGAAAGAGATCAGCAAATGATGTTATTCGTTTCACAAAAGTAATCCTCGGACAGGCTGCTAGAGGAATTCGAGCTGACTGTAGGAGGAACACGATGAGAAAACGCAACAGGACCCCAGGGTGGCCGGTAATAATGCTGGCTTTAGTCGCCGTAGCCGCATTGATCGGCCTGATGGCATTCCTGCAGCCGGCGCCGGCCTCCGCAGACGCGGCCACGTTCTACCTGGACTGCCCCACCACAGAGGTCAGGGAGGGCGAGCGGTAGACGTCTTCAATGTCCGGGTGACCAACCATCAGCACGATGTCACCTTCGGAGCCTCCTGGCATACCGACGCAGGAACGGCTGGCACCGAAGACTACGCCCACCAGAACAGCGGGTTCGTCTGGGCCAACGACTCAGAGCGGGCGGCCAACCGGGCGAAGCGCACCTTCCAGACCCAGCAAGACAGCCTGGTCGAGGGCAACGAGACCTTCACCGTCCGTACAGACCCGGGCAACATCGTCGACCGCAACGACCCCACACGGGACGAGCAGTGCGAGATCACCATCATCGACGACGACCCCAACATCACGGAAGTTGAAGTAACCTCGTCCCCCGGCCCGGGACGACACCTACGGCGTGGGCGAGACCATCGAGATCTCCGCCACCTTCAGCACCAACGTGGACGTGGACGGGACCCCGAGCCTCGGCATGTGGGCCGGTGGCTGGAAGGCGGCTACCTACCTGCGCGGCTCCGGCACCGACACGCTGGTCTTCGGCTCCACCGTCAGGCAGGAGGACCGGGACGGCAACGGCATCTCGATGGACGGCGGCTACCAGGACGGGAACGGCACCTGGCACAATTTCGTCAATCACACCGCCGTTACGGCCTCCGGAGTTGTGGGCTTGGATGGCGGTCCTGTAACCGCCTACCGGGTCTACCGGGGCCTCGGCCAACAGTCGGGCCACAAGGTTGACGGCAGCCTGACCCCCATCGGCGCCGGCATGGAGATTACCTCCGAGCCCGCCGACGGCGAATTCTACCGCTATGGCGACACCATCGACATCGCCCTGACCCTCAGCGCCCCGGTCGACGTCGAGGGCCCCAAGAATCTGAACGCCCGGGTCGGCGACAGCGATACCTGGCGCGGTCCCGTGTACAGATCTGGCACCGGCACCAACAGCCTGGTATTCGAATATACCGTTCAGACCAGGGACCATGACACCGACGGCATCTCCATCGACGGCAGCTACTTTCAGGACGGCGTCAGCCACGGCTGGGGCGGCAGCGGCACCGTCAAGGTCAAGGGCACCGACGTCGTCGTCCCCCAACTTCAGCGGGCTGACCAACCAGGTTGACCACAGGGTAAGCGGCCAGCCCTACCCGAAGGCCATCTCGATAACATCTACCCCCACCTCCAGGTCAGACACCTACGGGGAGGGCGAGACCATCCAGGTCAGAGTCAAGTTCGACCAGAACGTGACCGTTGGCAATGATGCCATCGCGACTGCTGGCGACAATGCCACCACGAACACTGGCGGTGATGGCCAAGTCATCCTGTTCATCGGCGCCGAGAACGATGAGAACCCCCCCTTGTTCTATGCGAAGCCCGCACTTTACGCTGCCGGCAGCGGTGACGACACCTTGTTGGTATTCGAATACAGGGTGCAGGAGTCCGACAGCGATATCAATGGCGTTGGGGCCGCTTTACCCTTTGGGCTGAACATCAAGGCCGCCGGAACTGAGATATTCTACCGGTCCGCCCCCAGCGGAGTCATGGATGAGAACCCTGACCACAAGGTTGATGGATCCCATCCGGGGCCCGGATACCGACGCGCCAACCATATCGTCCATCTCCATCACCAGTGACCCCGGGGAGGACGACACCTACGTCGAGGATGACTCCATCGAGGTCACCGTGACCTTCAGCGAGGACGTGACCGTCACCGGCACGCCGCAACTGGAACTGGACTTCGACGGCACCGCCACGACCGCGGACTACAGCAGCGCCACGGCGCTGCGGTGGTCTTCAGCTATGCGGTGGCGGCGGCGACATCGATACCGACGGCATCGCCATCGGGACTGACAAGCTGTCCCTGAACGGCGGCACGATCCAGGGCGGCGGGGGACAACAACGCCGTCCTGACCCACGACGCCGTGGCCGCCGACTCCGGCCACAAGGTTGAGGGCACGGACACGACGGCCCCCACCGTCTCGTCAGTAGCCATCACCAGTGACCCGGGGCGACGACGACACCTACGGCCTGGGCGATTCCATCGAGGTCACGGTGACCTTCAGCGAGGACGTGACCGTCACCGGGACCCGCAGCTGGAGCTGGACTTCGACGGCACGGCGAAGACCGCCGACTACAGCAGTACCAGCGGGCCCGCGGTGGTCTTCAGCTACACCGTAGCGCTGGACGAGAGCGACGCCGACGGCATCGCCATCGGCGCCGACAAGCTGTCCCTCAACGGGGGCGAAATCCGGGGCGAGGTGGGGAACGACGCCACCTGACCCACACCGCCGTGGCCGCCGACTCCGGCCACAAGGTGGACGGCGCCGACGCCATCGCGCCGACCATCTCGTCCCTGTCATTCACCAGTGACCCCGGCGAGGACAGGACCTACGGGACGGGAGACGTCGTCCAGGTCACGGTGACCTTCAGCGAGGACATGTACCGTCACCGGCACCCCGCAACTGGAACTGACCATGTCCAATACGTCGAACCGGCAGGCCGGTTACAGCAGCAGCAACAGCAGCGGGGCCAACGTGGTGTTCGAGTACACGGTGTGTGGTGGGCGACCGGGCCAGCGACGGCCTGGAAATCCGGGCCAACAAGCTGACCCTGAACGGCGGCGCCATCCAGGACGCCTCGGGCAACGACGCTACGCTGACGCACCCGAACTATTTCGTCGCCTCCAATCACTTCGTGAACGGCGCGGGCGGGGTGTAATACCCGGGTATAACCGGCAGCAACAAACAGAATGACAAACTCCGCGAGGTCGCAATCCGGTCTCTACAGACGGGCGGGGCGCGGCCTCGCGGTGTGCTGGGCAGCATTCAATAAGACAGACACTCCGAACAAAGGTGAGGCGGTACCCAATGTTTTGCTTGACTCGAAAGACAATTGCCCTGGCGGTAATGATCTCAATAATTGCCACCCTGACGGTGGCCTGTGGCGATAACAACGCGGACAGCGGCGCGGGGCTGACCCGCGAGGAAGTGCGGGAGATGGTGCGGGCGGAGGTGGCCTCTTCCCCTTCAACTCAGCCAG